GGAAGGAGGGATCCCTGTGACGTAGGGAACCCTCCTTCCCCGGTAATGGTTCGCCCTAAAGTTCCCTCCATATCTGCCCCTCCCTGTTATGACCCTAATGTTCTGGCCCACTCCCGCATCTATGGTCTCTTCACCCTCCCCTCTGGTCACCGGGTTCACCGGCAGGCCGTTCGACACAAACATCTGAGGACGGGATTAGGCCTAGGCCCCCCTGACACTTCTGCAAAACACTCAGTGCAGGAGGTACCCAGCTGTGCTCCCGACCCACACACACATACACACACATTCAGTCAATCAATCCCCACGAACAAATTAAAAACAAGGGAACAGCAGTATCATCAATAAAAGTGGGAACATTCAATCAACCACAGTCATACCAAGCACTCCCCATACAATTAAAAATTATAAAACTGTGTGAAAGAGCGAAATTTGCTCAAAATTGGCCCGAAATAACCGAAAAAGGTTAATGTCCAAGTCCTCCCTCGCAAGGGGCCCGAGGTCCAGAAAAGTTGGGAGAGGAGTATGGTAGCAGCAATTGAAGAGGAAGCCACACTTCCCAAATACATCCTTCTTGTCCAATGCCCTCTCTCTCTACCGGAATAAGCTTGCAAAATAGTCGGTAAAGGTATAAATGTCAACTGATGCAGTTATTCTAATGCAGCAATACATACTTATTAGTTCACAATATTTCTAAATAGCAATAGCAATAGCAGTTAGACTTATACACCGCTTCATAGGGCTTTCAGCCCTCTCTAAGCGGTTTACAGAGTCACCATATATTGCCCCCACAATCTGAGTCCTCATTTCACCCACCTCAGAAGGATGGAAGGCTGAGTCAACCTTGAGCCGGTGAGATTAGAACCGCTGAACTGCAGATAACAGTCAGCTGAAGTGTCCTGCAGTACTGCACTCTAACCACTGCGCCACCTCGGCTCTATGATAAGTTAGAAGATGAAAATGAGACAAAAAACATTAACATAGAAATACAAGACTATCTCTGATTTGCATTGTTTTCTAGTACCATTTGTAAAAGAATGCATTATTTCCATGTCTGGTATATCGCAAAATGAAACCTATGACAGCGGTTCTTATTTGGATTTCAAAATTGCATTGTGTTCTTTATTGGCATCTACTTTTATGATTCTGAAAAAAGTTAATTATATAATAAAACTCCTACAATTGAAAACATCAGGAGAATATTGTTATGTTTCTCTGTCTGTGTATATCTGTGATTTTTTTTTAAAAAAAGAACCTTTCAAATTGCACAAGGCCAATAAATGAAGAGGGATGCGTGTTGTTGCATAATGATTCAGCCTGGATTCCCTTTTTAAAATAAATTAGGAATTAACAAAATAAAATCGTGATCATACTTTTTATAACCATAGCAGCCCCAAAAAGAAAAATATATCTTCAATTATTCTGATGGAATAGCTTGCTTTCTCTCATACATGGTCACTCTTGGATCATTTTGTTCATATTAAAAACAGGAATATTAGCTTCCACCAGCTGTAAATGTATTTCTTTGTTAGTTTATAAAAAGTATTTCTCATATTTTGCTTTCCTGAAGTTTCTGTTAGTAGTCTATTGACTGGGCAGCCTCTCTCTTTTTCCAACCATATCTAATTCATAATTTTACAGTTTCTGTTCCCACACATCCTTATTCCTTACACCATATTTTTTTTCATTTTAATTTACCCCAGGAGTGTCCAACCTTGTTAACTTAAAGACCTTGTGGACTTCAACTTCCAGACTTCCCAGCAAGGTTGGTTGAGGAATTCTGGGAGTTGAAGTCTACAAGTCTTTCAGTTGCCAAGGTTGGGTAACCATGTTTTTACCTACTTCCTCCCAAATTTCCTAGCTATTAGATACCTGGCTTCTTGAACTTAATGGCTCCTGGATATAATTCTGTATTGCCTCTCAGCAATTAACTTCAGTTCTATGCTCTTATTACCCAAGCCTTTCTCCCATTCCTTTTATCCAAAGAAAAATGACTATTAATTACTAAGCTCTTTGTGATTCTTTTTGCAAAAACCTACTTTTCTCATTACAGCTGACTGTTCCTGTTTTGTACTAGGTCTGGTTTTATTTATTTAATTAATGAAGTTTGTAAGGTTGCTGAACTCAAAATTAATTTGAGGAACTTACATAATAAAAAGGCAATTTTTAAAAAAAGAAACTGCAAAAAAAGAGAAAATGATGTATGCTCAGACAAAATTGCCGTAGTTACTTTTAGTAAATGATACATACTATATCTTAATGTTACAGGTAACCTTCACTTAATGACTATTCTTTTAGTAAGTGTTCTAAGTTATGCCAGTGCAAAAAAAATTCTTTTAGCAAGTGTTCTAAGTTATGCCAGTGCACCTGGTCCTCACTTGTAATTATTGTTGCAGCATTCCCAAACTCACATGATTATGATCCAGGCACAGGACAACTGGCTTGGACAGTTGCAATGTCTTGAAGTCACATGATTGCCATGTGTGACCTTCCCAGTCAGCTTCAATTGATGCTTCACGTAATGACTGCACCACGATGATTGATTTTCATTTTCTGGTCTCTATAGTGGTAATAACTCAAGAACTATCTGCAGATACGAGCCATGATTGAGAGAAGCCTGTATTCTTCATAGGTAGCAAAGATTTTGCTGGTTCTGAAAACAGGGTGGTATTATGTAATACTACTATCAGTCCTTTTAAATATTGAAAATCATATGCATTAGAGATGAGTACAGATTTGCTGTTTTGGAAAATCTGTTTATCTGTCATAGCTTTTTTCCATGAACATTTCTTAATTTGAGAAATTTAAATAATCAAATGTTATTGGAAGAGAAATGTGTCAACTGACTACATTTATTTTTGGTATACAGTGGTGCCAATGTTAAAGTTTTCTCCTCAAAACTTTCTTTTGGGTAATAATATATATATATGCCTTCCCTTTAGGTTACACCTGATATGGTCGGGTACTCTGTAGTACATAGAAAATGTCATTCCCAGTTTACCGACACAGCCGATTACAGGAGACATGGGATCAACACATGGCAAGATGAAAGCGGAGTTTATGCTAATGCAGATCTAAAGCAGAAAGTATTTCCTATAACTAATCCTATACCAATAAATGTGGAAGAAGCTAATTCTTAAGCATTTGCAATGATGCCACAAATAAAAGCCTATTCATCTGTATATTAATGTCTGTCAGTAGAATTATTATTTTTGACAACACTGCAGCTTATATAATATTTAGTTAAAAGGCTGGGGGAACAAATTTGTAAAATGGAATCTTAAATTGGAACTGTATTACTTTTGCCTGCAACTTGATTTAAAAAATGTTGCAAATACCAACAACTTCACCCTTCTCTGTAACTGGTATCAAGAACAAGTTGTGAGACTTTTCAGCATACATATCAGAGCAGTAATTCTTTCCTATTTTATATACAAGGATATAAGTTTTATTTTTAGGATAAGTATTTGCACAAATTATTTGCAAAAGAAAGCCTTGGAATGCAGTACCTAAAAGAAGCTAATTATTAATCAGCTGACTCAGGAGTAAAAGTTTAAGCAAAGATTATATTACAAAGACTCTCAAATAAGTATTGTAATTCCTTTTGATGTTGATCCAAAGTCTATTAATGAAACATTTAATTGTTTTAGCCTCCTTAAATAAATCATTGTGATGGTATTGGAGTCCATGACAAAAAATACAGCCAACATACTTCTCTAATAAAAGGCCAGTGCTAATTTATCTCACACTGTCTAAAATTACTACATCAGTGTATTGCAAATCTTGACTAGATAGGTAAAATTATGGTAGATTCCATTTTTAAAAGACAGGGTCTCCTCCCCCACCCATCAGTTGTACCTAAAAGCACTGTTTCTAGGTATTCAAAAATGGAAAATAGGGCTTGGGCAGATTCCAGAGCCCAAGTGTTTCATTTCTGTGGTCATTCCTAAAACACAACAATTTATGCATATAGTAGCCTTGTGTTGGGAGAAGATGGAAAGCAGCAGCTGCAAACTAAGTTCAATCTCAGTTATGGGCTGTGGGTAAGATGTCATGATGCCATGCCTTTAAAGGACACTTAACAACACATCTTCAAGATAGAGCTAAGGGAACATGTTCAGAATAACTTCAGTAATTTTAAATGTATTTTACTAAAGATAATCAAGTCAGAAAACAAATCTTCAATGGCTGAGGTAAAAATTTATATGAATATTCAATTAGAGAAAAGTGAAAGAAAATGTTCTATATTACTAAGGTGACCTGGAAGTGCTTTAGTTCCAGGTCACCTCAGTAATATATCTGATTTATGGCAACTCCTAATCAGAGATTTAATTCTGATTACGGCTTTTGTTCCTATCTGCCTATGGGGGCTAATATAGAAAAGAACACTTGGTATCTTCTGATTAACAATTTATAAATTAACAAGGCAATAATACAACACTGAAGTTTGACAAAGCAAATTCTTCAGTCGTAAATAAGCTTAGGCCAAAGGATTATAGCTTCACACACGGTGTACATAAATAAGGCTTATGATAAGCAGTGTTATACTAAAAATATTTTGTGCAGTTTTAGCTAAAATGATGATGAAAATGTGTAGAACAAAGTATTCTTAAATGTTGTTTGTTCCTGTTTCCATAGCAATCATTGCTTTTGATCTTTATATTTGCAAACACAGTGGAATCACACTGTGTTTATTATATAGCTCTGACAGTATAATTGAAGAGCGGTCTACAGTGGAATTAAAATATGATGCTTTCTGCCCAGCAACTCTTACTTCCAAACTCAACTCTTTCTAGTAGAGTTCATATACTATGCTTAATTGAGCACTATTGAGCTGTAATTCTGAAAAAAATTATATATATTGTTTTCTTGTCATTTCATAGACAGACTCAAGTTGAATTTAATCCTTCTATAAATAAAGTGTCTTGCTCTACTTAATAGTCTTGGTGCCATAATGAAGAAAATAATAGGCCAAATAATGCTTCTTTTTTCTTCCATTTACTACAATTTGTTAAGTCACCCTATCACTGCTTTACAATTGTGAAGTGTACTATCATATCTAATAATCAGGACTTAAGAGCAGATATCATCTATTCAGATCAGTTGTAATAGTTATATGCCTGTAAAATACAGGTAAAACGAGATTTGTGAAAAACCAGGACAAAGCAAATATTTTTTTAAGGAAAATAAACTCTGAAATTGAAAGCACTTTCTGGAAAACCATATTCTGTGGAATTATTGGTGGTCGCTGAGCTAGCTTTGCAGACATTTCATTATCTAAGAAATGTCTGCAAAGAAACAAGCACGCTCAGAGAGTACCAAGGACACACCTACATTATATTCTATTAAAACTATATTCATTGTGTGCCAGAAAACTACATAGGCACATCTATAAAGGTACCAAGAATTCAATTCACCCAAAGGGCAACTTTACCTTTTAATTTTGGTAGAGTTAACACACATAAACAGAGGTGTCGGCAAGGGACAAACATGTCAACAAAAGCCCCACCCCTTTTTATGTGTGGCATAACACAATAAAAGGGGGAGGGGTTTCAGTTGCATGGTTCTGACCAGTATCTTATTTTCCGAATTTTCCCTACAGACACCCCTGAGCATAAAATAGAAATTTTTGCTTAAAGGTGAAGCTGTAAACAATCAGAGAAGCTCATAAGATGAATTTTCAGCAAATGGCAGCTATGCACCAGCTGGATTTACATGATTATTACATGTTTTTCAGAAGTGAATCGTGTCTAGCATCTACATTTATGTGCCTTTACGTGAAGTCCCTTTTAACTATTGTTTAGTGGGAATTGTACTCAAAAGCACTAGAATTATTATCACATTTATCAAATCATTAGAAATTTACAGTGCTTGTCCAAACTCGATGCTACCCAAGTTGCCACTATAATAAAATAAGGCTATGGGAGTAAGATCATGTGTTAATCCCCTTTCCCCCTGTGTTAAAGTCCTAAGCACATTTCTTAGGGTCATGATAGGATCATAACAGTTCTTCACCAATCTGCATATTTCTGTAATGATTACCAGACACAGAAAGGAAAGTTCACAGTTTGATGGCATTAATCTGGGAAAATAAGTTATCCAACTTTTGGAATTGGGAACAGTGTTAGTGAGGCCTATTGTTACCATTAATTTGAGTAATTTCAAACTCTTCTCTGTTCCTTTGCTTCTCTTTTGTTGCAATCCTTATTTTGGTTTGCACTGTCAGTAGGAAATAAAATATTTTTCATTGTTGTGAAAATAATATGGGAAAGCCACCCTGAATGGCATGTTTTCTCTCAAGGAATAATGGTCTCAAACCTACATGGTCTTGCTGTTCTCCAAACACGCTTGTCACTTTTTGGGACCGATGGTTAAAGGGGGAAAAACCCAGCCGGTTTTATAACAATTCCATTTGCTCCACTAGGCTATTTGTTACTAAGGAGGAGAATGGAAAAATGTTACATATAAACGTTTTGCTATTCTCAGCACTGGGCTCAAAAATAAATGCTAAGGAAAAGCCAAGTGATTTGTTTAAGCAGTGCAGGATGACATTTGGAATTTGCCACTGGTGCTTATAAGTCTGGTCCACATAAGGAAGTGAAGTGGTGGAGAGCCGAGTTAGTAAAAATAAACCACTAATAAAATCCAAAATGCTATTAAGAATTTATGTAAAATTCTCAAGAATTCAAAGACAGCGTAAGATTGAAGGCATTTTTCTACAATTACTTAACTGTTTGCAACATTTTTATTTGAATAACAATTCAGTTAATAGGGTTTACTTTTTAAAAAATATACAAACTGCTGTTATACACTCAGCAGTATAAACTTTTCTGTTTGATAGGATTGCTTGCTTTTAACCAATGGCACACTAATGTTGCAACCCTCAGTACGATGACCTGAGAGTCATCCCTCCAGGGAGTTTAGTTTCATTGAGTGATGTATAGAGTAAACAGATTTACACTGTGGTCTCTCAGAAAATGAATACTGTGGTGCCCATGGACAGACTCCCTGACTTCTTTGTAAACAGGGTTCAAGATGGGGAGGGGGAACACTCTCTAGGACTATCTAGGGAGAGGAAGAACCATTATTTTACACTGTGTCATGCCTTGGAAAGGGAGAAATTTTTTTAATTGGTTTTCTTTTGGAATTGGCCATGCTCATGATCACATGATCCAATTAGCTGTTGCACTGTACCAACAGCACATGTGCTGATGACCCAGTAAACCAGGGAGAGCCATGAGCTACACCCTTCTAGTTTCAAACATGGGTGCATCTTACTTCTACTTTCCAGACTGATGGGAGATCAACAGTGGTACAGTCAAGATTTATAGGTTTATACCATTGTCACCATGGCCAATGGTGGGATTTTATTCCCTCCCCCTCTCTTTATCATCCCTTTCCTCTCCATTTTCACCCCCTAGGTAGCAAAACCCAGGGATAGGTTGAACCCCAATAACAAAACAAAATTCCCCACCAATCACTCTTCTTTGTGTGGGGCAGGGCTGGAGCTTGATAGGAAGGCCACTAATTTTTGACATACGGAAAAATTCAATCTGGTTTTGTACAACTCTTTCACAGTGTATTCAAAGGAAGCCTGATATTGGTTGATATAAGCTAATATCTGAATAGAGTTAAAATTCAGACATTTTAAACATGGGTTTAACCTCATTCCATAAGAGCACTAAGCCCATGTCCAAAGATATCTCAACAGCTGATAAAGGGAGGGTTGCACCATAAGATGGGAAAGAAACAGCATACACACACACACACACACACACACACACACATTCCTGCTACTGTTGGGCAGCTGCTAGTTAGCGAATCAAAGCTGGGGATCATCAAGAGACTTAATTATAAGAGGGTGAGCTGACCCTGAAAAAACCAGGCTCTGTTGCTCTCCAAACCAGAGAGCATAGTTCCTATCAGCTTAAACTTGGCAACTTTAAGATTTGTGGATTTCAACTCCTGGGCTGGCTGAGGAATAAGGTGGGAGTCCCCTGTCTTAAAGTAACCAATAAGAACCTGCCTGGGCCAATCTTAATCCTTAGTCATTCCTTGACACAGTCAACTACAGCTGGGGACAACTTTACCTATTCCTTGCTACACTGTTTTCCACCAGCTGCTTATAATGACAGAGCCTTTATTCCTTTTTTTTA